TTAAATAAAGGGAACATTTGTCAGGTCCATGTATAGGAGGAGAATTAAATTTAGAAATTTTTATCTCTAAAGATCTGCACAAGGACATCCTCCAAAAGAAGACCCTTAAACTTATGCAACTAACTTATCAGGTGACCCAATCATAAGAGCATGATGTACCAAGGTATGTACTAATTTTTATACCTTTTGGTATTTTCCCACCGAGGTAAAAGACCTTAAACACACACACATATATATATATATATATATATATATATATATATATATATATATATATATGAGATGAGGTATTGTAATTGTTTACATTATTTACATTTGTTCAGACTGTTGTTCTTATCTTTGTTGCTATATTCACAACGTTTTGCATCCACCGAGGTAGACTGTTCTAGCTCCATGTGCCATGCCTCTTCCTGAGGTCTCAGGATCCGTTATTTCCCTTTAACTCAGTGCTGCAAGTTTTCAAATCACCTGTAGCCAGGTATTGAACTCACAACTATTTGGGTCAAGTCAGTGGATTCAACCAATTTTTTTTTTTTATCCACTGAGTGATGTGTCCTTGAGGACATCATTATAGGTCCCAGTGGGTAAAAAGCATTAGTTTAATCCAGTGACTTGACCCAAAGAGATATCTGTTCAATTCCTGGCTACAGTTGAACTGAAGAAAGGGAGGTAACTGATGCTGAGACATATGGAAAAGGCATGTCATGCAGAATTAGAACCATCTACCCTAGTGGCCTGGAGAATAATACAGCTAAAATGTCATAAATATAACAACAAAGATGAGGACAACAGTTTGAACAACGTAAACAATATATATATATATATATATATATATATATATATATATATATATATATATATATTGTAAGCCGGATATAAGAGAGTTGTCGGGACCGGAGAAGAAGTCTCTTATATCCGGGTTTGGTCTATTTTGTTTAGGTAAGTATGGGAACACTTCATATAACGCTTTTTATGTACAGAACACTGGTTTATTTAACAGTTATAGACATAAAAAAACACAGACAAAAATACATTTTCAATCAGTTTTCAAAATAATTCAATCAAACATTGCTTTTTCTTAAAAAAGTCAGTCATTTTTGATTGTACAGAAATCTTTGTTAACATCATGAACACTTTCATACAGTCCGTAAATCATTTTCAATGCGCCATCAGGATTACTGCTTTTTGCTTCAAAGTAGGCTGTCAGAGTTTCAAGTGCATTCAATGCAGCCAAAGAATTTGGCACTGGTTTGTCACTTTCAGAAACTTCAGAACTTACGCTTTCCAGCATCATCATCTTCGTCAAAATCTTGATCATCCGATTTTATACCACGTGTGATGTCCGTGTTAGTCAGTTCTCCATAACATTGTGTACGGTCATCGAAGATGATAAACTCGTCAAAATCTGTTTGCTCCATGCCCGATGTTGGAGAAACTTGCTCATTTTCGTCGAGTATTTCTTCCACCTCAGCCTGTGATTCAATGACAAAGCCGGCCTTTTTAAAAATTTTGAATTGTTAACGGTTTGACCATGAAAAGTGCTCGCTTCATCATGTGCATGGCCTTCAAAACAGTTATCTGCTTGGCCACATCGGACAGCGGCACTGGCGGTGTAGCATCGATCGCTGCGATTTGCATTCGAACAAGTTCCCAACGATAATACGCTTTGAATGAACGAATGATGCCTCGATCCAAAGATTGAATGAGACTGGTGGTGTTTGGTGGCATGAACGACAATTTGATGTTTGACAGATTTGTACCCGGCAGTAAGTTATGAAAAGTTGCATTGTCCAAAAACAGAATAATCTTTCGATTTTGAGCAATCATTTTTCGATCAAGCATTTTCATAACGTCAGTAAACCAGGCTTTTTACCAAACTAGTAATCCAGGCTTTACGATTAGCGAAGTAAGAAAAAGGCAGAGTTTTGACATTTTTAAAGCAGCGTGGTTTTGCTGACTTACCAACAACTACAGCTTGCTTTTCACTGCCGTCCATGCTCAGAGTTTTTCGTTGAGACGTCGACATCACTAATCGCAATGATCGCAAGCAAACGGTTTTCAGTGGCAAAATTAACAAACAGACAAAATTCTGACTCAACAGAACAGTGGGTAAAGTGAAAGTGCTGTCCAGTAAATGCAACGACAAGCAAAGTCGGCAAAAAAGCGGACGGCGCTACCCTTAGACACACAAAGCAAAATCATAAGGTAGAGGGTGTCTCCTACAGACACAGATTGGACACACCGTGTCTCTAGACTAATCAAGATTAAGTCATTGAACTTCACTCTCTCTAACTGACCTCTGTTTGACCGATTTACGACATCACACTGTCACTCAAAATGAACTCTTATATCGGAGAGGACGGGAACAGAGAAAATCTCTTATATCCGGGTTACACTGTGTAGATAGATATATAGGTAGGTAGATATATAGATAGATAGATAGATAGATATATAGGTAGGTAGATATATAGATAGATAGATAGATATATAGGTAGGTAGATATATAGGTAGGTAGGTAGATATATAGATAGATAGGTATAGTAGGTATACATTGATATAGGTGGGTAGATTGATATATAGGTAGATAGATTGATATATAGGTGGGTAGATATATAGGTAGGTAGGTTGATATATAGGTAGATGTAGATTGATATATATAGGTATGGTAGGTGAATATATAGGTGGGTAGATATATAGGTGGGTGGGTAGATATATTGATATATATATGTATATATGGGTGGGGTGGATACATTGATATATGGGTGGGTGGGTGGATGAATGGATTGATATATGGTGGGTGGGTGGATAGATGGATTGATATATGGGTGGGTGGGTAGATAGATAGATTGATATGGGTGGGTGGGTAGATAGATGAGATTGATATATGGGTAGGTGGGTAGATAGATGGATTGATATATGGGTGGGTAGGTAGATAGATAGATTGATATATATAGGTAGGTAGGTAGATAGATAGATTGATATATAGGTAGGTAGGTAGATAGATTGATATATAGGTAGGTAGGTAGATAGATTGATATATAGGTAGGTAGGTAGATAGATTGATATATAGGTATGTATATATATAGATATATTGATATATATATGGGTATATATATATTCATTGATATATGGGTGGGTATATAGATAGATATATATATATATATATATATATATGTATATATAGATTGATTGATATATATATATATATATATGTATAGATTGATATATATATATATATAGATATATAGATTGATATATAGGTAGGTAGATATATAGATTGATATATAGGTAGGTAGGTAGATAGATTGATATATAGGTAGGTAGGTAGATAGATTGATATATAGGTAGGTAGGTAGATAGATTGATATATAGGTAGGTAGGTAGATAGATTGATATATAGGTAGGTAGGTAGATAGATTGATATATAGGTAGGTAGATAGATAGATTGATATATAGGTAGGTAGATAGATAGATTGATATATAGGTAGATAGATAGATAGATTGATATATAGGTAGGTAGATAGATAGATAGATTGATATATAGGTAGGTAGATAGATAGATAGATTGATATATAGGTAGGTAGATAGATAGATAGATTGATATATAGGTAGGTAGATAGATAGATAGATTGATATATAGGTAGGTAGATAGATAGATTGATATATAGATAGATAGAAAGTTTACATTCTCTTTAAATTGTGTATCTCCAGTGAAGATGTACCAACCAAAATGTCCAGCATTTGAATATTTGCTTGGACAGAACTAGAATTTTCTCTGGATGTCATTTCCATAAATTCATGGCAACTTTTGAGTTTCTAAATCCAATTCATCTTTCCACAAATTCCCTTTTTATTCAGCCAATGTGTCTATGTTTCACTCTCATGAATATGTAGATCTTAGTACTTTTAAAATAATAAATAACTATTTTTGTCTGTTACAATCTGACTACGCTTATTTAACATTCATTGCTGAACAGTAGATATTCACAAGTGAATAATTTATATCTGTCCGAAAAGATTATATAGAAATATGTAGATCAACAATGAATAGGACTTGTCAGATTCATGCCTTAACTGATCATCAGACAACTGATGGTCTAATCATTGTTTAATGCATAGAAATGACAGTCAACATGCAAGAAAAATGTGCACTCTCCAGCAGGATTCAAACTTGTATTCCTCCGAGTTGAGGAAAACTGTCATTAAATCTGATGTGCCTTAACTGACTTGGACAGGGAGACACATACATATTCTACCAGTGAGCACATTTTTCTTTAATAAAATTTCTCAAATATAAGGATTTGCCATTCCCCTAGACTAGTTCCTCAACAAGGCTTAAGAGCCCAGTGTACCCTACTATTTAACCAGCAAATTGAAGGAGTAGAGGAAATAGATTTATGCCTTTCCCAAAGTGAATGTAACAGACTTGACTGGAATTTGAACTCTACCCTCTGAGTTCTCATTCCAAGTTGCAATACATTATGCCACCAGCATGCACACATATACATATGGTAATATTAGCAGCTTCCTTATGAGGAAACATTTGGCATTCATTAGCCAAGCACCAATCTACTCTGATAAAATTTATAAAATCTTTCTATTAAAACAATTCTTCAGGAAAATAGGTTTTTAGGGTTCACTGTTATGGATTTTTTTTTTTTTTTTAAATCTAAATGAAGGCTTCCTTCTTAAACTTTTGTTTGATAAAATGTGGAATGTAAACTTCTTGGTTTTGTCATTTTTTTTTTTAGTTACATATGCTACATATTTTTCTTATTGAAAGTCTACAAGTGATTTGGTTTATGTTGTTACATTTCTTTTTGATTCTGCAGCACAAGTCCACAAAGTTCAAAGAAGGATGATCCTTGATAGGAACTGAAGTATATTGCATAATAAATACAAGCAATAACAATGAACAATACTTGATGTAAAATATAATACACTGTATTATATATATATATATATATATATATATATAAACGAATCAAATCACGCTGAAACGATCACTGAAGTTAAGCAGCGTAGAGCCAGGTCAGTACTTAGATGGGGACCCGCTTGGGAACACCTGGTACTGTAAGCCCCAAAGTCCAACCCTTACCTCACAGTTGGTGGGGGTGTAAACAGTAGTGTCAGAGCTATGCCGCCGGAACTTTGTTCCTGGTAGGGCCCCCAAAGGCGGACAGGTCTGACACACACACTTGCAACAAGGGCTCTGGTGAAAATCAAGGGCGTCTGCATCGGTAACTGGCGGCTTCTGGTCGTTCCTGTCTCTCGTCTGTGGGAACCCCACGGCAAAGCAAGAACGTTATCCGAGTAGGCCTGGGTACCCTACTTCTGTAATTTATCCCAAGAATCTTCTTCTCATAACAGGAAGAAGCCGGCTCAATCCGCCCAGGGTGAATGCCGCATCAGTACAGTACACACGATATACTCGACATGTCGAATTTCTATATAGTACTGTATAGGATGATTTTTCCCAAAAAGCAAACTAATGCTACCATTGGAATTGGGGGTTGACCTACTTTTTCGAAATGCCCCAAACTTTAAACTGACAATGAGAATGATGCAGTAGATAAATTGCCAAAAATTCTCTTGCTGTGACCTTTCGAGGTCCCCAGTGAGAATGAAAAGGTCTTGTAAAGGAGAAAATAACATTTGGTAGAAAAAAAAAAAAAATGGTGGAAAAGTCCTCACATTAACAATAAAGAAAAAAAAATATTTAAAATGTATGCCATGCCATGCAGCTGTGGTAAGAAATATAAAGGAAAAACAGGCTGTACCGCTTAAGATAAGACTGTAGGAACACTGTAAAGACATAACAGGAGCGGAAATATAAAAACCAGGCATAAATGACCACATGTAGAGAGAAAAGAGAGATCACTACAACTTGAGGAGGTCAAAATAATACACAGAAAACATCACTGGAAAATACTAAAACTTATGGAAGGAATCAGCACATATTCTAGACCACAAAAATTTCATAAGCTGGTCAAGTATAGAAATGAATATAATATGTGAACCAGTAATACACACTTTTTGCGATAAAAATTGTATTATGAGCTCTGGAAAAAATGTTTACCTAAATTTAGTTTTATAAGTGCCAAAAATTCATACACTGATGTCCTCAAGGACACATGGCCCAGTGGATAAAAAACATTGGTTGAATCCAGTGACTTGACACAAAGAGTTGTGAGTTCAATACCTGGCTGAGTTACAAAGATATCTGGAAGAGGTATGGCCCATGGAACTAGAATAAACTACACTGGTGGATGAAATAAAGGGTTCAGTTTGAATTTCCAATCACCTGAAGAAGGTTAGAGTGTACAATGGTTGAAGCACAGTGAGTATAGCAACAAATATGAGGACAAGAGTCCAAATAGTAGCTCAACTCAGAAACAGATACTCTCTTATATTTCAATTCAGAAATATAAACATACCATGTTTTGTTTCTGAAAACAACAATCCAAAAAGGAAGAGTTTCCAGAATGGGAATTTAATTAGTATGAATTGCAAAGAAGATAATGGTCAAATAATGTATCAATCAGGAGATTGAAAGAGAACAGGTTTTAATAACAGATTACACCTAATTGCTTGTGATACAACTGAATTTGTTAAGATAATTTATTTATTTTTACATGTAAGAATACATTAAACATTCCTAAAACAGGTTAAATATAAACAAAATAAAATCAAGATCCAGAACAAGTCTTTATTCTTCTATTGGTAGAACAGTTATCAGGAAATTGCCAATATTAGTCCAGAGACTTGCTTTCTAATGAAAGTGTAGAAATAAATAACATTGAAAGAATAATAACCACAGCTGATATTAACAAATTATGTCTGGATTTAGAGAATGTACTGTATATTAGTATTACTTAGTCTATGCAAACTAGATTCCATTGCAAGCTTTGTTCAAACAATTTCTCCTTTGTATTCTTGATATTGTTACCACAATTGTCCGAACAAAGATGGTAATGTTAATAATTCTTCATGAAGTAATAGACAATGTATTCTGTTCGAGTTCATTTCTTTTTTCAATCAAAAAGAATTATTACATATTTATATGCAACACATTGCAGTACTAATGTAGATTCTCTACCCTTTTCTTTTTTTCATATCAAATAATACATATCTGTTGTCTGAAATCTCCAAAGCGAATTATTGTCATCATTCAATAATGTCAAGACACTTATCTTTTGTAATCATGTGTTAATTCTCTTCAATTGAAAAAAAAAAAAAAAAGAAAAAGCAAATGTGAACAAAAGAAATGTCGACATATAGGCAATTTATTAGATAAACTAATTCAAAATTTACATGCACAAATACATCTTCAATATGTCTGCACATGTGTAGAAGTGGGAGGAGCTATGTACAGTGATAGGCGTGTAAGTGCATATAAATCTCTAAGGTATTTATGCCTATATACAGCGAAGAGAGAAGGGCGAAGGAGAGAGAGAGAGAGAGAAGGGCGAAGGAGAGAGAGAGAGAGAGAAGGGCGAAGGAGAGAGAGAGAGAGAGAAGGGCGAAGGAGAGAGAGAGAGAGAGAGAAGGGCGAAGGAGAGAGAGAGAGAGGGGGCGGAAGGAGAGAGAGAGAGAGAGAAGGGCGAAGGAGAGAGAGAGAGAGAAGGGCGAAGGAGAGAGAGAGAGAGAAGGGCGAAGGAGAGAGAGAGAGAGAGAGAGAGGGGAAGGAGAGAGAGAGAGAGAGAGAGGGGAAGGAGAGAGAGAAGGGCGAAGGAGAGAGAGGGCGAAGAGAGAGAGGGGCGAAGGAGAGAGAGGGCGAAGGAGAGAGAGGGGAAGGAGAGAGAGAGAGAGAGGAGAAGGAGAGAGAGAGAGAGGGGGCGAAGGAGAGAGAGAAGGGCGGAAGGAGAGAGAGAAGGGCGGAAAGAGAGAGAGAAAGGGAAAGAGAGAGAGAAGGGGGAAAGAGAGAGAGAAGGGGAAAGAGAAAGGGAAGGGGAAGAGAAGGGGGAAGAGAAGGAAAGAGAGAGAAAGAGGGGAAGAGAGGGGGGAAGAGAGGGGGAAGAGAAGGGAAGAGAGGGGGAAGAGAAGGAAAGAGGGGAAGAGAAGGGAAAGAGAGAAAGGGGGAAGAGAAGGAAAGAGAGGGGGGAAGAGAAGGGAAGAGGGGGAAGAGAAGGGAAAGAGAGGGGGAGAGAAGGGAAAGGAGGGGGGGAAGAGAAGGGAAAGAGGGGGGAAGAGAAGGGAAAGGGAGGGGAAGAGAAGGGAAAGAGAGGGGGGAAAAGTGAGAAAGAAAAGCGAAAAATGAGAGAGGATGACAAGGAAATCAGAATAAAAACAGGGTAAAAAAGTAAGCAAAACAAAATGAGAAAAGAAAAAAAAAAAAAAGGACAGAAAGTGCGGAAAAAAGTAGAGTTGAAGTAGAAATAAGAGAAAAATGTGGATAGCGATAAAGAGACTCCATGCATTCAAGCTTTATATATTTTCATGTAAATACATACTTTACAGACTTTGTACATGATTATGTATACAGAAAAGTACTTTAATAATCACACTGAAGCGAAAGAGTGAAACGAACTAATCTGCCATCCCACGTCTAAGATGGCAGAAATGTTTTTACAAGTGTCATATTTTATCAGAGCAATAAAAAAAAAAAAAAAAAAAAAATGACAGCTATACCAAAATCTTTAAACCATCAATTTTTTATCCATTTTCTTTTTTAACCAACCAGACATATTGAGCAATATCGGCAAAGTGAAACCAGCAACTGATATTGTAATCAATTTTTTTCATTATTTTTTTTAGCGAAGTAGAAGACCAAAACTCATGCCCCACCCTCTGGCAAAACCTCAGTGACTGGTAAAAAGAACGCCTAAACGATTCCTTCAGATATCAAAATGACAGAAGTATTTAAAAGATATACAAGCAATCTGGCTATCCATTTAGCAGAGATTTCTAAATGGCTTTTTAAGTGAACCATTTATCTTTTCTTTCTTTTTTTTTTTTTTTTTACTTGGCAAAAGATAGAGAAAAAAGGTAAGTTAAAACATCATTTTACTGTTCGGAGGTTTAGTACGAAAAGAAATTAAGGATTAATACTTTTGGTGGCTGTGATAACAGATGCTAAACATGGCCAAAACTTTAGCGGATATCATTTTTGATTAAACTTATAAATAATATGTAAATTTCTTCTTTTCTTCATCTAATCGAAAGAACTGAATAAAATGGTATATAATCTAGACTTTGCAAGTGTTGAATTGCACTACTGTGTGATCCAAAGGTGTGAAGTTTTGTCCCTGTTGAATAATTTATGTCTGAATTTCTGGGAGAAGGAATTATTATTTACACTATTTACATTCGGAATACGGTCCTCAAATTTGTTGTTATCACAACGTTTCGGTCGTTGTACCTTCCGGCCTTCATCAGGTGTATATCGATCAGAGTAACCTGCAAAAATTCCAAACAGAACCCTTTATTTAATCTGCGGGTAGACTGTTCTCGTTTTGATGTCTACATCTAGCATCAAATGTAACAAAAGAGAAAAAAAAAACTTCGACGACGGCAGTCAAGTATGACAAACAGCAGCAGCGCTCATCAGCAGCCAGGTTAGGTTTAATGCTCCAAGTTCTCCACGGAGGGACATTAGGTTAATGGATTAAAGAATTGGTCCATGAAATTAGTGACATAATACAATGAGTACTTGGACTAGGCGAGCGGCGAGATAGAAAAGGCGAGCGGCGAGATAGAAAAGGCGAGCGGCGAGATAGAAAAGGCGAGCGGCGAGATAGAAAAGGCGAGCGGCGAGATAGAAAAAGGAGCGGCGGCGGATAGAAAAGGCGAGCGGCGAGATAGAAAAGGCGAGTTGGCGAGATAGAAAAGGCGAGCGGCGAGATGAAATTAGAAAAGGCGAGCGGCGAGATAGAAAAGGCGAGCGGCGATATAGAAAGGCGAGCGGCGACATAGAAAAAGGCAATAGAAAAGGCGAGCGGCGAGATAGAAAAGGCGAGCGGCGAGATAGGCGGCGAGAGAAAAAGGAAAAGGCGAGCGGCGATAGAAAAGGCGAGCGGCGAGGATGAAAGGCGAGCGGCGAGATAGAAAAGGCGAGCGGCGATAGAAAAGCGAGCGGCGAGATAGAAAGGCGAGCGGCGAGAGCGGCGAGATAGAAAAGAAAAGGCGCGGCGAGATGAAAGGCGAGCGGCGAGATAGAAAAGGCGAGCGGCGAGATGAAAGGGCGAGCGGCGAGATAGAAAAGGCGAGCGGCGAGATAGAAAAAGGCGAGCGGCGAGATAGAAAAGCGAGCGAGCGAGCGGCGAGATAGAAAGAATAGAAAAGGCGAGCGGCGAGATGAAAGGCGAGCGGCGAGATAGAAAAGGCGAGCGGCGAGATAGAAAAGGCGAGCGGCGAGATAGAAAAGGCGAGCGGCGAATAGGAGATAGAAAAGGCGAGCGGCGAGATAGAAAGGCGAGCGGCGAGATAGAAAAGCGAGCGGCGAGATAGAAAAGGGCGAGCGGCGAGATAGAAAAGGCGAGCGGCGATAAAAAAATCGGCGAGATGAAAAAGGCGAGCGGCGAGATAAAAAATCGGCGAGATAGAAAAGGCGAGCGGCGAGATAAAAAAAAAATCTTTGACTAGATGAGAATATCCCTACACCTGAGTAGCAGAACGATACCAGTCTATCCCCGTAGATTTAATAAAGGATTCCGTTCGGAATTGTACGTTAAGCGAATCGATATCCAACGGAGGACACAACGGCTGAAATACTGTGATAAGCAATAACGAAGATAGGGGCAATAGTTCGAATGTAAATAAATTTTGTTGAATAGTCGAGTTACCAGTCACCAATATTGTATATTACTTTATTCTTCGGTTAGTCAGTTCTTCCAAACAGACTAGCCTAAGTATTATTTTAAAATAAATTGTTCAAACACTCATTTTCTTTAGTTTTCTTCACATAGCGAGTTTAAAGTGACACTTGTTTTCTGTTCTTACGGCTGTCAGATGATTATTTATTTGCCGTTTGTATTACAGTATACAAGAACGTGCAAATCTAGGTTTATCTAATCGTTTATTTCGGTAAAATTAAGAAATTGTACCAAGCTATTTACTGACAATGTTCCACGTTCTCTCCATTGCAGTCAAGGTGGCGCAGAGTGATATACATGCTTACAGTTTGAATGGGTCATTAATCGGATTAGCTAGGTGTAGGATAGTCAGTGAAGATCAGGCTAAACCCTTTCCCCTCTTTTCGGCCTTGTGCCATAATTGAATTTTTTATAAAATAAATATACATGCTTACAGTTTGATACCAAGTGATTTGGGCCTTCAATTTTTGAAATGTTCAAAAGATTTTTTTTTTCGATAAACAAAATTGTTGAGGATTCCCCTCAAAGAGGTTAGCCACTCAATCGATCCACTTTCCGGGAAAAGTTTTTATCTATTCATTGACGAAAGTGTTGCGGGCCAGTGAGAGAAAAAACACGTGTGTCTCCTGAAATGCTGACAATAAAAATGACAGACTCGAGATGTGTGTCCGCGTTAAGAAATGTAAAAAAAAAGAAAAAAAAAAAAAAAACTAATATATATGTACAAACAAATGTTAATGTATTAACAATAAAGGGTTGCAAGTAACAAAGACAATAATGTGTGTCACAAATGAATGTGAAAAGCGTTTTGGTCCAAAGCATGTGTAGTGAGTGAATGTGCGTACATACACGTGTTGTGTAAGTGTGGTTTGTTTTCCCAAAGGAAAGCGCGGTTTCCGCGAGAGATTAACATGTTGGCGTGAAAACGGAAAAAGTGAGAAGAGAGAGATAAAAAAATTATCGGCGAGTATTTATAGTCCTGAAAGCGTCTCTAGGAGCAGTTTTGAAAATTACAAAGGGGTAAGCCAACAAAAGTGTTAACTAAGAACATTCATAATACGCAAAACAAATATTGAGAACACAACAGTGCCTGGACAATACTTTTAACTCACTTTTTTATATTGACGGGCTAGCCATGTCGACTGACTCTTATTGTATCAATTCATTGACGGTGGAAATGATAACCAACGGATATATTTGCGAAATAAAAATATGGCGTCTCAAATTTAAATTCCTTTTATTTTTAATATATGCATTTGTCTCATGCTGTAATATTTTAATTTAATTTGCATATGTAACAAGCTGTTGAAAAAATACACGTTGAATTGATGTTTGTCAGCAAGAGAAAAAGCCAAAGATGTGGATTACGAATAGGTATTAGCCCACCCAGCCACCAAAAATATACTGAACTATCTGAAAAGTGCTAAGTAAATGATGGATAATCACGGCCAAATCAGAACACACTTTTGAAAAGCGAACGTTGCCTTCCAAAAATTAAAAGTATTGAAAGAGCAAAATGTCATTACAAACAAAGAAACAAGAGATGAAAGACGAAGTAATATCAGTTCTTCTATTAGGTTGGTGAAAAAATAATGACGTAATAATGTCGTTTTTTGACGTTAAAAAATACATCATAAAACGACATTATTACGTCATTATTTTTGCACCAACCTAATAGTATATGGCAGTTAACTGTTGAACAATTTCCTCACAGATGAAGACAAGACTTGAAGCAATAGAGAAATGGTTAAACAGAAGGATGCTGAGAATACCACAGACAGAATGTGTGAGCACTAAGCATGTTTTAAGGAAAACGGAAATAAACGAAAATTATGCATGTTGCGGAGGAGTACGTTATTAGGAATAATATATATATATATATATATATATATATATAATTCATTGTGTTGGCTGCGTGAATATAAACTTCTCCACAAACATTTAACTGAGTATGGCACAAGGCCATCAATAACAAGATATAAAAGAAACAATATTCGTTTTTAGAAAAAAAGAATAAAGCATTTATATAACATATATACATCATGAGAATGAGAACGTTCTTTACGTCCCTGTCTCCCATTAAAATGCCTGATTCTCAATTCCACGAGAGCACCTCTTTGCGACTGCTTGGTCTCACACCATCCGCTGACTTGCGATGGAAGAAATACATTGAATCAATTGCTTCATCTACCGCAAGGAAAGTTGGTTTACTGTGTCGCGCCAGAAAGTTTTTCTCGTCAGAGTTCATTCTTCAAATCTATAAATCAACCATTCGCCTTTGCATGGAATATTGCTGCCATATATGGTCTGGTGCCCCCACTGTTCGTCTTAAGGTCCTCGACAAAATTCAGAGACGGATATGCAAATGTGGTTGGCCCTGATCTGGCATCTCATCTACAGTCGCTCTCTCACAGATGTTCCGTCGCTTCCCTCTGTCTTTTCTATAAATACTTTCATGGTAACTGCTGCGACGAGCTAGTATCGCTACTTCCCAGACTGTATGAATTTAAGCGTGCTACTAGGCTTGCATCTCGGTCCCACCCTTTCACTGTCGAAACGATTAAATGTAGCCCTCTCTTCAACTCCAATAGCTTCATATCTCGCAACTTCCGCCTGGGAAATTCTTTCCCTATAACTTGTTACCCTGATAGCTATAATCTCCAATTATTCAAGTCTAATGTCAATCGACATCTCCAGATGCCTTCATCTATTCGCTGTCATTCTCTTCATCCTTTCCTCTATCACGCCTCCTTACTGTCGCTCCCACTCTTTGTAACCCCTTACATTCTAGTGGCACTCCCGCCTTGCTTGGGGTGAAATGCTTTAAGAAAAAAAAGTGGTCAAATAGAGAGTTTGTTCAGTGTTCGTACGTACGTGTGTGCACGCGTGTCATAGCGTTTTCCCTTAAAGGGATAAACGCGACCTTTCTACGGAACTACATTGCTGTGGGTCTGAGAAGACAGGAAAGAGAAAGAGTTGAAAATGTCGCTGATATTTGTAATGTTGTATGTCACGTGATAAGCTCGAAACTGATTTTAGGCGGTAAATTAATTTTAACCGCGCAGACGTAGTGGAAAACATGATATCAGCATTAATTGACCAATCGGAAGTCAGGGAAATATCAAGGCTGTGTGATCCACTTTTTTTTTTAAACAGATTTTTCTGATTGCAGTACTGTTACGTAAGAAATGCATTGGAATGTTTTTTAACCAATGGGATTATATCACAAATATAATACTACTAAATTGAAGTAGAACACTAAATGCATAAAATCAGAAAGACATTTGGCATTTCTGTGATACATGATGTGAGAACAAGAGCCTAGAAAATGTTGGCAGATTATATATATATATATATATATATATATATATATATGAGTGCGCTAGATAGATGTAGACAGAGAAACAGAAATAGAGAGACGTAGACAGTGAGAGAGAGAGACATTGAAGCAACGAATAACCTATCCAACGAACTTGTTTAAATGTACGAAAGAACTAAGACTTATTCTAAGAGAGACGAAAGATAGGAAGTTGTAGAGAGCGATGATCGCCCATGTCGTGACTGGATACAGAACTTACATGTGACAATTACAATATCTATCTTTGAGCATCTCTAGTATAATCTCTAATCATTTCGGGGCAGAGCATTGGCATATCGAAGACTTCATTATCGCACGTCCAAAAATAATTTTAAGTTCTTTAAAATCATTACCATTAAGTTTATATTACCTTGTGACAATGCCTACAATTTTTATTATGCGGGTATGAAAGAGTTATTTTCAAGCATTTCAGCTGACCTCGACAAAATCCTTCTATGTGCTATTTCCCTTCAGGACATTGGCGATCATGGCTCTCCACAATTTCCTGTCCTTTGTAGCGTTTAGTAAATTGTCTTTTTGCTTTCTCTCCTTTACAAGAGCACATTGGGTAGATTATGCGTCTGTCCCTCTTGTCTTCAAATCTGCTGCGTGAGTGTTAAATTTTCCAAGCACTCTTTCCTAACCCTAAAAATGTTAATTCTTTCTGATGGTGAGCATAAGAGTCCGTTTTGTTTTCCTTTCCACGTTGCTCATATTTTCAGTCCATAATATTTTCAGCATCCTTCTCTAGATGCACATTTCTGTTCCCTGAAGTCTTTTTCATCATCCGTAAGGAGATTGCCCAGCTCGATAGGAGAACTGACATTACGAAACAGTTCGTCACTCTTTTCTTTGTTTCTAATGAAACTTTCATGTTTCTTAATTCTTTAACTCTTAGAAGGAACCTTTCACTATTCCAATGCAACTTCGGATTTCGGTACCGTACTTTTCGTTCTCTGTTAAAACATCTCCCAGATATTTAAATCTGGGTACTTTTACTTTCTGTGTCTGTTTTTCACTGTGTCGTCTGAATATCTTCTGTTGTTAATATTGTGGCCGCCAATAATGAATCTTAGTAAGACTTCGAATATAGTCATGGCTTCCCTTTTTGCTAAAAATTGTATTCCATTGATAGCTTGGCTTCAAAGTCACTTTATTTAATTAGTTAATATAGTTAATTATCATTATACCAAAATTAATTTGATATTTTGGGAGTATATACCTCTGGCGCTATCTTTACCACTATTTCTATGTCTTTCTCCCTCCCCTTCTCTTGCATACATACTTACATGTCCGTATTTAAAATAAATTATTGCGCAGCTCGAGGATTAGCTTCAATGCTGATGAAAAGATAAGGTTAATATCATTAAGATTAACATTTCTGGCATGGTGATAATTGTTT